AAAAAAAAACCTAAACTTTCTAAAATTAAAGGAGTATGTACATACGGTCTTATGCCGATTAACGAAGAAAACGAAGGAGCAAGTACACTTAATGCACAATAAACGTACGACTCCGTTTTAGTCAAACCCGCAACCGCACGAAACAGTTATTAAGAAGCATTTATGTAAAATAAAAAGATTGCCTCTGTTTTTCCAAAAATAAAGAAGAAATATTATTATTATTAATCACCTGAAACTGAACTGCGGAAATTTCAAAAGCTGAATAAGAAAATTCCATGACCCACTACTGTGCAGTCCAAGCTTTCCAACACCAAATTCCAAACCGAACGCACCTCTTGTGTTTCTTTTCCATGTAAGAAGGGTTTTTTTTTTTTTTTGTTTTTTCTTCTTCTTCCTGTGAAAGAGAAACCAAGAAATTTCTTTTCTTTGGTCTTTGCTTTGTCTCCAAGCCATGTTTCTTTATTTTACATTTTTTAAATTTTTTATAATTTGCTTTTTTGTCTTTATAAGGACTGAAAAATCCATATAACCAGAGTTGGGGTTTGGTTTAGATTTATGGGTTGAATGCCTGTTTTGTTTTATGGGTGGATTTGCAGTTTGCATGCTGTTCTGGTTTGATATGGTTAAATTACAGCCAATGACCAAAGGTTCGTGCTGTTTCTATGGGTGGTTATTTAGTAGTTTTAGTATGTCACCTGGGTTTGAACTTTGAAACCGGTTTCTGTTGTTCCTTTTCCTACTTTTGTTTTTTTTTCTGATTAATTTCTTTGTTTGGTGTAATTATGGTGTGTGTAATGTCTAGGTAGTTGTGTTCATCATTATTTTGTAGAAGAACTGTACAAAGTTTGTAGCTTTATTTTTTAAGGATAATTATTTTCATTCTTTGATACGCTTTGGACTTTGGACATTATTTTGGTATTAGTTGAGCTAACTAACTTCATGCTAGTAATTGGATCTCTCTGCTGACTCTCTGCATCTGACCTGTTTATCATTTTCTTTTTTCTTTATCTTTAGCTGAGTAGATTTTAGGATTTTAGTGTGCAAGATTGATGCTTTACTCAAATATTCTTCTTTTGTTTGAATTGTTCTGCAGGAATCTGATATGGGTTTAATAGAAAGCTGAAGAAGATTTTAAATTTGGAGTATTTCTGTGCTGCTAAGTGAAGACTCATGGAAGAGAAACCGTTTCGTGCTTGGTCCCGGTCTGTGGAGCAGTGTTTGAAAGAGTATGGTGTGAAACTGGATAAGGGCCTAGGCACTTACGAGGTGGAAGAGCGCCGTGAGAGGTATGGCCTGAATGAGCTTGCAAAGCAGAGGGGGAAGCCCTTATGGCTGCTTGTGTTGGAACAATTTGATGATATGCTTGTAAAGATTCTTCTAGTTGCGGCCTTCATATCCTTCATTCTAGCTTATATGCATGGTGAATCCGGTGAGTCTGGGTTTGAGGCCTACGTTGAACCGTTTGTGATATTGTTGATTTTAGTCCTTAATGCTATTGTTGGAGTATGGCAAGAGACTAATGCTGAGAAGGCACTTGAAGCACTTAAGGAGATGCAATCTGAATCTGCGAAAGTTTTGAGAGATGGGTATCCTGTCCCAGATTTGCC